ATAGATTGATCTTTACTTGTCGCAACTCAACCTCGAACAACACGACTTCAAAGATTGAGGATGGTATGACCAACAAGGAGCAAAACATCATCCCCAGTATGTAGGAAGATCAGCATCATCCTATGCTTCTCAGACATAACAACATCCGAGCTGACTCCAAATGTTGAATCAGTCCACACAAATGAAACTGCTTCCCCAGAATATGAGGAGACCAAGTCTTCCACTGAGAAGATAAGATCCTAAGAATTTGAATTCAGTCCAACTATAGCTGCATATTTGTAGACATAACAACATCCGAGCTGACTTCCAAATGTTGAATCAGTCCACACAAATGAAACTGCTTCCCAAAATATGAGGAGACCAAGTCTTCCACCGAGAAGATAAGATCCTAAGAATTTGAATTCAGTCCAACTATAGCTGCATATTTATAGAATTTGTTACATCTCTCCTTCTATAAATAAAAAAGCTTGTACATTGGATCAACTAAGAAACCTTTATCTAAAATCTTATATAGTATCAGAGTTTCTGTGACATACATCATAAAATATGTCTTCTCCAACCTCCTCTATCGTATTCGAAACCATGACCTGCCGGCTACCCACATTCAACCCCAATTTCACAATCAATATCACCAAACTTACCTATATCAATTTTTCAATTTGAAAAGTACAGATGCTTCCCTACCTCAAGGGCCAAAATGCTTTTGGCTATATTGATGGCAATCTAAAAATGCCCCCTATAGAGATTCCATCTTCAAATTACCCTAATATCAAAGTCCCTAATAACGACCATGCAACATGACCCTTCTATTAATTTCCGTTAATTTTTTCATCAACAACCTCTCCATTGATACTGATAGAAAAAATGGAATCTAACAATAGAATCACATTGCAACACTTTTGATATATTGAGTGTAATGTGAAAAATTTAGACTTTAAGGGTATAAAATAAAAATTCTTAAATCTTTCAAAGTACAAAATGAGATTCTCCATTTCTTTAAGTATTGAAGTCTCACTTGAGAAGATAATAATGAAGAACAAGGCAGAATGTGAATGGAAAATGAATTTAGATAGAGAAGATTGGACGCTCGTGGAAGATAATTACTTAGATTATTTGATCTTTAATCTTTAACGAGGTGAAAAATTATAAGTAATTGACAGTTATGTATGTACATGTGAAATGTACTCAATTCAATATGTACCGATGCAAATTGGTCTTACCTATCAATGTAATACTCTAATTTTTTAATGAAGATTCATTCATGTACATCAATGAAAATGATTTTTAATTTAGTTTCTTTTTTAGTACCCAAATTTATGAATTCGTGTATTTCTTTCAAAATTATATTTTGATATTCAAATTTTTTGAAAAAAAAAACACCCATTTAATACCCACTGTTCGGCCTGTTAAGGGCCCACTATGGTAAGATCCTTGTGCAGGCCGTGGGCCTAGGTATGCTAGCATCTATGTCGGCCCCCTCGTTGGCAATCCTTATTTCTATTGATATATCCAAAAAAGCACAGGTGTCTAGCAACAAATTTGATTTCTTCCGAGCATCACTGGCATCAAGTTGTTAAGGATTGAATGAAGGAACCTCAGAAGAGCATTACCGAAGGGGTTTTTTTTTTTTTCAAACACACCACGATTAATCCCTTTTACAAGTTGATGCAATATGAACGAGTTTGAACGAGATGAGACCCAAATGTAAAACCCTATAGATACGTCAAAAAATTAGTCACAAATGACATTGGCCTTATTCTATTTTTTTTTTGCCACTTAGGGTACATCACTCTATTCACATGTCAATGTGAAAAAGCCGTTGTTAATGGCAATCATTGAAAATCAAATTGAAAATATCAAGGACTAATTTAATGTAATTAACATATTAAAAACAAAAATAACACAAAACGCATACATTGGGAAACTCCACAGCAATTAACCCATTTTCGTTTTCATGTCCAAGAATGGGTTTTTATTCCACCACTCAATGTCATTGATGGTGAAAAATGAAAGGAAAAGGAAATGGCATTGTCTTACTTTTCCTCTAGTATGAATAACGCGCAGATTCTAAGGAAGAGTCAAATTTGTCCCACACCACCATTTAAAGCTTCATATGGTCCAACCGAAAGGGACATTTTCCTACTATCTTGGATTTTGCATCACGGAAAAATATAAGGGTTCACTTTGCCCAAATTTTTTGAGGAGTAATATTGTTTAAATTTTATATATTGACATAATTTATTAATTGAATTTATTATTTGTTAATTTGATCTAAGCATCAATATCGGCTCAATTATGGACCAAGTCTGCCTGAATGAGGAGTTAAAAGAAACATTGATATGATGTTCATTCCATGTGTAAAGCGAACTGCAAATGAACATGTTATATGAGCAACATTTTATGAGGAGATTCAAGTAAAAAAAAAATAAAAAAGGAAGTTTCTTTTAACTTCAATAGAATTTCATTTACGAAAGAGTTATTGATAATATTTATTAATCAAATTTTATATTATTGTTCAATTGAAAGTGGAATCAGTTTTATATTAAGATTCACTAATAATTTAACAAACTTATTTGATACTGAAGAGATGGTATAGTGTATATTAAAGAAATCCAAAAATCCTAATTAGGTAAAAATAAGAGGGTAGAAGAGAAATAGAAAAAAAAAAGTTGCTTTAAGTTTATTAACCAAATCAGCAAGAAACAGGAGTTAAAGGGGCATTTGATAAAGTCTCAACTATATGCGTCCAAAGAGTCGAAACTGAAGGTGATTATATGATAAATATTTACTTAGGAGATCCAAAAAAAAAAAAAAGAAGAGAAATAAAAAGGAAGTTACTTTGAACTTTAGATAGAGTTACATGGGAAATTGAGTCACAAAAAAGTTACTGTGTAATTATACTTGAACCAAATTTATTGATTAAATTTATTTAATTGTTAAATTGATAATGCTTGTGAACTTTTCTTTTAAGTCTTGCAAAATGATGACCTAATTCAGTATAGTCATTAAATCAACAAGAAGTCTCAATATAGATGAAATCCCCTCCTATATAACACTTGTTTAACAAAATAAGTTCTTAAATTAGATATAAATGATATTTTTCATATGAGTAATAATATGTGCATTAAATTTGTGTACCAAATTTTGCATCATACAACTTGCACCCGTTGGATCAGCGAGTCTCATCACTGATCTAATGTCTACAATTGATTTAGTAAAACTTTTAGTACACAAATTTAATCTATAAAAAATTACCGCGTTCATATTAATTTAGAATATAAATTTGAGAAAGTGATTGTGTGGGTCAACCACGACCCACGACTGCGTGAGGAATGGGCAAAAGGAGATCCCAAACCCATGAGGCATGAGAGAAGGTCGTTATCTAGACCAAGACTTTCTAATAATTTGTGACACCTCTTTCATTAATCCTCCCAAATCATAAGAAAGAGTTTCATAAATGTCACGCGCATCAGGGCCGGGTCAATGGCGTAGTCATTAAATTAATTGTCATTTTAGGTCCTCATTTTATGAATATTTAATCAAGTCTATTATTTAAAATAAAATTTTTCATTTTCAAGAAATTTTCCTGTGAGTTACACGTCCCAACAACTTATGATTTTTCTCTTTTGAATAGAAAACGGTGTATTTTATTGATTATGGAATATCATAGGAAAAAAAAGGCATTCAAAAATTCAGAGCTCTCTCCTTTCAACCAAAAACCGCTATCAATAAATCTCGTTTGCTTGGCTAGACACTCGATTTCTGTTTCTCCAAACGATAATTATCTCGTAATAACAAAAATTGTTGTAGCTCGGACATCACATTTATCAAATTTTTGTTCCCATAACCCATTCTTACTTGAGCTTCCCTTTTCCTGATTGAATGCAGAAACTGAATGGAGTCCCCTTCCAAACTAATTTGTAACATTCCTTGATCCCTACAAAAACATGTGACCTCCTTCATATCAACATGAATGGTGCTCAAAGATCCCATTCCCTAATAACAACCCCAACACCCACATATTGACCTTCCAAAAGTACAACCCTACAAAATTTAGTCTTCAATAGACCAGTTGAAGGTGGTGTCCAAGACATTAAAATTGGTCGTATATGCCCATTTCTTAAATGATTATGTTCACGCTTTGTATATATTTGGATAAATTTTAGACATGTTAGAGGTTAATTTATAAGTTTTCTAAAAACATTAATGAACCTTTTGTTATTATATAAAAATTAGGATTAATAACTAAAATTACTTTAGATATTACACTAATTGTTTTTTATTTTTTAAGTACCATTAGTCTATGTCGATGAATTGTACCTCAACAATGAAATTTTCAAATTGGCTTACACGCAAAACAATTGTTTTTTGGTTAAGGTTACGACATAGACCATCAATCTCAAATTAAATTATCTATAACTATTGATAAAAAAAATAAAATAAATAAACATGGTTCATTTTTATTAATTAAGAACTAAAATTTTGGTACCAAAAATATGCTTTATTGTACTGTAATAGAACTTTATTCTTTCGTTAAATATTCAAATTTCATACTGCATATGGTGGTTGAGAAACTCGGCACATCAATGTTTTCCTAGGAGATTGGAAAAATGGAATTTTGTATGAACAATAGATATAGGTTCTGATCCTCTTAATTTCAATATCTCCCTATTTTTTCTAAGTTTAGTGACTCATTGTTAATGATTTTGAAATCTACAAATGGAAACCACAAATTGAACTTAATTATTTATTGGTGAATAACTAAAATTAATAAAAAAAGAACAATTAGGGTATTTTGGATGAAAAACTTTAAAAATTATAATGTCAAGTTCCAAAGTTTGAGTCTATAAACACTGACCGCTCTGATATGCGTAATTTGTAAGTTATTGTGGATTCACGAGTCCAAGTAATGTGTGGTTGAAATGATACAAGACATTTGCATAACTGTCCTATGTACAACTGGCTGACCTTGTCTTCCTTTGAGGCTTGGAGTGCCTACAAAAGGACCAAGAAGAACACCGTTTTCTGCTAGCGCAAAGTTCACTATTAGCAAAAATTAGTGACCATGGCCTCAGCACACCAATTTCATGTGTTGCTAGTGCACCTCAGTATCCTTGCATTCCAATTGTCCGAAGCACCAACTGCTACTCAAGCAACGACAGCCATGGTCAAGCCAGGCTGCGCTGATCGTTGTGGGAATTTAAGCATCCCATACCCATTTGGCATCACTAAAGACTGTTGTCTCGACGAAGCCTTCCTCATCACTTGCAACGACGCTTTCAACCCTCCCATAGCATTTTTGGGAACCAATACCAGTAACCTAAATGTCACGGAGATATCCCTCCAAGGTCAGTTGCATATCTTGCAGTTTGTAGGCAATGATTGTTATGATCCGAAGGGGAAGTGGAAGGAACAGTCCATTAGCGAAGCCTCGTTCAAGCTCTCGAAATTTTCCATCTCCACCGAGAATAAGCTCACAGTAATCGGTTGTGATACTATAGCGTATATGTATTTCTATCAAGGTGAAAAGCTGCAGAGGTATTCCACAACTGGATGCGTATCTATATGCCACAGCCTCGACAGTGTCGCTGATGGCTCTTGTTCCGGAGTTGGCTGTTGCCAGACATCCATCCCTAAAAGGGTGAGGAGCATTGATATCCAGTTATCTAGCTATAATAACTATACAAAGGTGTCAGACTTCAATCATTGCGGCTATGCCTTTGTTGCCAAACAAAATGAGTTCAAATTCACACCGGAGAATGTTAGAAAACTGCAAAACACAAGCGAGTTTCCGATGGTGGTCGATTGGGCCGTTGGAAACGAAACATGTGAGGTGGCTAAAAAAAACTCGACTACTTATGCATGCAAAGACAATACCACATGTTACAAACCCGATAATGGTTATGCCATTACTGGGTATCGCTGTAAATGCTTGGAGGGGTACGAAGGTAATCCATACCTCACTAATAGCTGCCAAGGTATTATTATAGTATACGCATCTTTAGTTTTATTTTTTTTTGAATAAAGAAACACTGATCAAATTTATTGACCAAATATTCATTTCAAATAATATGACAACATATTATTTGAAATTTTTATTGAGGCCCAAATGACATGACACCAAATAAAAAAGTCTAAGTCAACTGTCATATCATTTGTGATGAATATTTAGTCTCAAAATTTGATTAGTCTAGCATTACTATGTTTTTTTATTGCATGCTGTCGATAGCTTCTGTAATGGGTGCCTTTTCCTTTCAATTGTTTTGCAGACATTAACGAATGTCAAGATCTAAGTCGCAATAACTGTACATTTGAAAAAGGTTGTCATAATATGATAGGGAACTATAAGTGCACCTGCCCCGAGTGGTACCATGGGGATGGCAGAAAAGATGGACAAGGTTGCACTTTCAATCAGTCACTAGTGATCAAGGTTGCTTTAGGTAACTTTACTTGCTGTATTTTTCCTATTATGCACATGAAAGCTTGCTTTGCTAATCCATTGTCAGCTAGTCAGGCAATTACTGGCGGGGATTATCACACTGTTGCTCCTCTTACTAGTGAAGAGATCATAGATTTGCTTGTGTCCTGAGGAATCAAATTCTTATTCCATTCTGTTGTAGTTAGTTTGAGAAAAGTAGCAAGTTTTTGCTTTCTGTTAAAGAAAGTTAGCTTGATATTTCATTTGGATTGGACTGATTGGAATGAAATTTTAAACTTCTAAGGTCATTTTCCCACTCTTTCTCTCATAAAACTATCAATGAAAAGGGAATTTTGTTTCTGGTTTATGAAGTAGTCATTAGGAAGGTCTAAAGTAAGACTTGAACTGAATCCTAGTACGATCTATAGGTATCATGCATGGTTGGGGGAAGTTGTCCTTTTCGGAAGCTTAGATTTATTTTTTGGACCTTAGTAAAATTCACAGCCTAATTAGCACTGCATGGCATTGAAAGTTAAATCCCTTTTTCATCCTCGAAGCAGGGGCATGCTTGTAGCTAATGGCAATATGATATTGATTTTTCCTAGGAGACTGCTAAACTACTTTTGAAACAACATCCATCTTATTAGTAGGATATTTCTTGTCCCACTTTTCTCTCCCAAACCCGTTATAAGTGGAAACCTTGCACGCTCATACGACATTTTTATTCCTTATGATTCTCGGATCATTCAGGGTCGGTCCAACAATATGGAAAAAAAAAATACATGGGTTTTAGGTCCCAAAATTTTTAAAAACTCCATAATTTTAGGTACATCACTAGTCCACAAAAAAAAAATAAAATTAAATCCATTAAATTTTAAGCTCTACTAAAAAACTTTAGAACATTAAATCCAATCAAAATTTTTATTGCAGTAATTTGGGCCTATAATCCAATTCATAATATTAAAAACTTAGAAATTAAAAAAAATCAAAAAAAAAACTCAAAAGTCAACTTATATTTACTCTCTCTCTCTCTCTCTCTCTCCAGTAAAAAAAACAAAAATAAAAGTTGAAATTAAACACTCTCTCTCCCTCTCTGCGGTACAAAACAAAAATAATTTTGAAATCTCTTTCTCGACAATATTAACACAACCTTCTTTTATCTCCCTTGTACATTGAAAATTAAAAATAAATTAACTTTTTTAAAAAAATAATACTAAAAATAAAAAAATCTTCATTTAATATTTCCACTTTAGGCCTCAAATTGGCTTGAGTCGCCCTGGCATCATTGAGTTACATCCATCATACTTATATGCAATGTCTTACTAAAACGATTAATCTAGTAATTCTTTATAGTGTTTTGCAGAAAATTAAATATTCATGTCTAAACAAATATGTGTCAGATAAGAAACGATGTTTAAACTTGTTTACCTTTATTTAACAGAAAGCAAAAACTTATTCCTACTTCTTTGCTGTTCTTCAAATGCAATTATAGGTATTTTTATGGTCGTTGTGCTGCTGCTCGTCTGTAGCTTTTGTATGTACTTTGAACTGAAGAGAAGAAAATCAATCAAGCTCAAACAAAAGTTCTTCCTACAAAATGGTGGATTTATGCTGCTTCAACGACTTGCCGGACATGAAGGATCAACAGATGCAGTAAAAATTTTCACCTCTAAAGAACTTGAGAATGCAACCAACAACTATGATGATAGCAAAATCATCGGGCGAGGTGGATATGGCACAGTTTACCAAGGATACTTAACAGACAAAAGAGTAGTTGCCATCAAAAGGTCAAAAATTGTAGATCAAACTCAAACTGCACAGTTCATCAACGAGGTGGTGGTTCTCTCTAAAATCAACCACAGGAATGTGGTCAGGCTCTTGGGTTGTTGTTTAGAAACACAAGTCCCTCTACTAATTTATGAGTTCATTAACAATGGCACCCTTTTTGAGCACATACACAATAAGATCAAGGCATCTGCTCTCTCTTGGGACACCCGTTTAAGGATAGCTGCAGAAATTGCCGGAGTGCTCTCATATTTGCACTTTGCAGCTTCTCCCCCTGTCATCCATAGAGATATCAAGTCTACGAATATACTCTTAGATGACAATTACATTGCAAAAGTAGCCGATTTTGGCGTGTCAAGATTGGTTCCTCTAGATCAAAATCAGTTATCTACGATAGTGCAAGGCACTCTTGGGTACTTGGACCCCGAGTATATGCAAACAAGCCAATTGACAGAGAAAAGTGATGTTTATAGCTTCGGAGTAGTCCTTGTAGAGCTTCTAACGGGAAGGAAGGCACTAAATTTCGATAGGCCAGAAGATGAGAGAGTTCTGGCTATGTACTTTATTTCTTCACTGAATGAGGATCGTTTGTTCCAAGTTCTTGAGGGTCATTTAGTTCGCGAAGGAGACGCTGAACAACTCAAGGAAGTTGCTAAGCTAGCAAACAGGTGCTTGAATTTAAAAGGGGAGGATAGGCCTACCATGAAGGAAGTAGCAATGGAGCTAGAGGGATTGAGACTGGTGTCGAGGCATCCATGGGTTAAAGCTGAATTGAACTCAGAGGAGACCGAATTTTTGCTTGACGAGAGATCAAATGTTTACGCGAACATTGGTGATACAAGCACAACTCAGCTGGGTATGACAACATGATGGATCATATAATAGTGTCAGTAGATAATGAGAGATGATTGTGTCGAATTTGGTACTTGATGTTGCAAGAATGTGCCAGTTTTGCTATATCCAGTTGTGGACCTCCTGGAATATGGACTGGGCGAGGCCAAACCTGATTGCTTCTACTGTTTTATATGTAATATTTCCACTTCAATTGTAGAATTGTTATGCAAATATGTTTATAGTTCTTTGGTCATGTAGCTAGTATGTGTTTTGCCTTCACCTTTCTTCTTTCTTTTTTTTTTTCCTCTGCATCTTGTATATGATGGCTATTATGAATAAAGCATTGTCAATTATTGGTAGAACAAAATGCCACCTTGTGTTCTAGGAATAACAAAAAAATTGTCACTACAAAAAAATAAAAAATTCTTATTAGTGTTTTCTGCATCATCACAATGGCATTACTCTTTTCTATAATAAGTAGTACCACAAAAAAGAATTAGCAGAAATAAAAGTCCCTTTGCATTTCTTTTTGCAGTGATAATAGGTATCACAAATAAATCGTTGCAAAAAGACAATGGTTTTTTTTTTCTTCCCATTTTTCCTTAGTAAAAGGGTCATTTATATATAATGAGTCTCACTTGAATTCTCACACGCGATCTACTAAAGAGAAAAATAGAGAAAATGTGTTTTAGAAGAAATCTGTCTTGTTCCTTTTGTTTTTTTTTTGTGCAAAATATAGGGAGGCAGTTGAACGGTCGCTGCTAATAATGCATTGAGGTGGCTGCTTGTAAGTGCATTAATGGCTATTCCAAGAAGACGATAAAATGTCAAGCTCATTGGAAATTAAAAGGGTTAATTTCACTTTGTCTCTTGAAAGATGCTCTAATTTTTAATTTATACCCTATAATAATTAAATTCTAAAATTCACCTTCAATATTATAAAATAGATGCAATTTAGCCCAATTTGAAGATGAAATTTAAGATTGAGGTTACAATTTGATCTTGAAATAGGGCCACATTATACTATTTTATAACATTGAGGGTGCAATTTGAGCATCCAATTCTATAATGGTCAAATTGAGAATTAAAATATCTTTCAGCATACAAAATAAAATTAACCCAAATTGAAAACAATGTATGTACCTTTTTCTTCATGACTATTTCAAAATTTAATGTGCCGAAATTTCTCCTCGTTTTTTTTTCTGTATTTTTTTGTATTTATTTTGGTTGAAAGATGTGTTTGATGTTATAAAATTTTTTTTTGCCAGATAAGATTTATTTATAACAGTTTTCAAGTGGTTCGGTTGCTTGGGCGGTCCAATTAATAAATTGGACTTGCCTAGGGTTTGGTCCACGGTCTAACCGGCTAGTCCGATTCGATTTTGATAATACTGCGTTTAATATTTTTCAATTGGATTTGAACTAGTTCACTGATGATGATCTTTGGACACATTTTACTTTGACATCCTCGGTGACCATCTCTCATTGCCACCTCAACTAGTATCACATTTGATTTCACCTTTAATCATGGTTAGTAATTTTATATTGTCCCAATAATCAATGTCCGTTACAAATTTGACATAAAACTATTTCTATACTATGTGATTTTGTTTCATATTGTCTCAAAACGTGGACATTTTTCATTCAAAAGATAATAGATGCTTACTTTTGAAGTCCAAATAGCATTTCCCTTTTGGGGTAATGTAAAACCAATTCAAATAATTGAAAGGGTAATATGAAAAATTCAACAATTGACAGAATAATGTGAGATCATGATCGTAGTTAAGGTGGTCAAAGTGTAATTTGTCAAATTCTTTTTGTTTCCTTTACTATACTATGTATAAGTTGTCATCCACAACTAAGTAATTATATAATTAATCACAACTGTATTCATAATTTTATCCATCGCATGTTAATTTAGTAGTCAAATTTTTTGAACTTCAAACATAGATCAGGACATGGGTGACCCGACCTGATGGCCCGTGTGTTCATAGGCAGCCCATGAATATCCTGTTAGTTTGGCGGATTTAAAAAAGTTCCTGGATAACAAGCCTAGTGACAGAGTTGCAGTGGACCTGAGAGGGCTATGGCCCCTCAAATTTTGAAAGATACCCGCTTTACCCCCTTCTAGGTTTTCAAAATTCTTGAGCCACCTTTTAAGTTTTCAAAAATTTGAGTATATAAGGTAATTCATTTTCGGTATCAAAAAGTTCAATTGCATGATAGTTAACAACTAAATAGGTAATATTAATGAATTAGTTATTATCTGTGTCTGAAGGCACAAAGTAATAAAAATAGTAAACAATAAACATATGTGTATTCATATCCAAAATCAAATCACAAACATAAAGAAGAAATAAAAGAATTTATACATTGGTTTGTAGTGGGGGTGAGAGGTGGTGGGCGACAGTGGTGGTGGTAAGAGACGGTGATGGTTGTGGTGGGTGGCAATAACCGTGGTGGCAGTGATGGCAGCGACGACGATGATGGTAGTGGTGATAGTGGCGGTGTTGGAGGCAGTGGTGGTGGCGCTGGTGGTGACAGCGGTGGTGAGGGTGGCGGCGATGGTGATAGTGGGGGTAGTGGTAGTGGTGGCGGCAATGGCGACGACAACGACGACAAAGGCGGTGGTGGCGACGGCGACAACGATGGTGGTGGAGGTGGGCGACGGTGGTGGCGGTGGCGGTGGCGGCGACGGTGACAGTGGTGGCGGTTGCGGCGACGATGGTGGTGGTGGTGGTGGTGGTGGGGGAGTGGTAGAGGTAGCGGTAGAGCGGTTTCAAACACTATTTTTTTTTAAATACTTATGTGAAATAATTCCTATAATTACTTTTAAAAAGTCACTCCAAACACACTCTTAGGGACCTATTTTT